GCTTCAGATAAAATTTGGTTTCTGGGGGAGTTGTTTTTAATGTTAAGGAAATCTTTTGTTTCGAATATTTACTCAACTTTGAACAATTTAAATGGGTAAAGAAACAACTTGAAAAGTTTAAGGAGTCAGAGAGATGGCTCAGTGCTCCTCCAGAGTACATACATTTCCTTCCCAGCACCCACATGGTGACTCACAACTGTCTGTAACTCCAGTTCCAGGAGCGACAGGGGCAACACACACGTGGGTACTCAGACATCCATGCAGGCAAAATGTCCATGCATTTAAAAAAAATACAACTTTTTTTTTTAAGTTGAGGTTTCAGTAGTTTAATCTCTTCCAGTGTTGAAGTATTGAGAGAGAGAGAGAGAGAGAGAGAGTTTGTGTGTGTGTGAGGGTTTTCCTTAATTCCTTATAAAGTTCTTCTTGATCGTAGTGGGTAGTGCTGTACTTCTGAGCATGATCTCCATCTAACTAGCCCTATGCCTTCTGAGATGCCCCCGTCCCTCACAGACTGCTGTGTCCCATTCCACTGTAGTGACTGCCATGCTCACAGCTCATCCTTTAGAAACTGCTTTGAAGATAGGTTTGGGTGTTGTTTGTAACAGCTACGAAAGCTACAGTTCACCATGTCATCGATGTATCCTGGGTTAGCGAAGGGGCTTCAGAGTCTAGTTCTGGCTGCATACTGCAGGCCTGAGGAGACAGAGTGGCACAGTAGGATGCAGTTGTCTGCCTCAGGCGATGATGGTTCTAAGTGAGTTCACAGTGTTCTGGTATCTCAGGGACAGTTGTTAAATTTTTTTTTTTTTTTTTTTTTTTTTTACATAAAGTTTCTTTCGGATAATTATATTTAAGAGTCTTGAAGGTGGAGTTAGGTTTAACAATCACTTTAAACAGTTTGACAGAAATTAAAGGAGCTTGGGCTCAAGTGATGAATTGTCTTCATATGAACTGAGATTCCACTCACGGTTTTGATTTTTAATTAAATAGTGGGTAAGAGAAGTGAACTGCATGGTTGCACATTAGTTCAGGAATGGGGGTAGTTGACAGGGAATTTTTGTTTGTGGTTGAAACTGAGATAGTATTTCATTACTGGATTAGCTCTGGTCAGAGCAAACTGAAAATGACTAATATTCACCAGTCTACTAGTGTTATAAAAAGCAATACTGTAAACTTAAGTTATGAATTGATACTTCTAGAATAAAAAATTAATTGACATTCTAGAATAAAAGCTTAGTCACTTTGTGAGTCCTGGTATTTCTGAGATGTGGATGGGTAGCAGTCCTCTTAGAAGGTGGATGGGAATATAGTCACTGTGTGTGCTTAGCCAGGCACTCACAGGGTCAGTTGCTGCTGTGCAGATGGCTTGAATCTCATGAGTACATTCCCTCCTTAACTATCTCTTGGGCCTTGGCCTCCTGTTGCTTGTCCCTATCTCCTACAGAGCAAGGTCCCTGCCCTTAAAATTCCCTGGGGCAGGCAGGTTTCCCTTCTAGAAGCTTGTTACTGAAATGACAGACAGTGGCTTGTCCTGAGTTTTCTGCATGGCACATACCTGCCAGATGCCTTGCAGAGTCCCATCTGTGTGACAGGAGGGAAGCAGGACTTACTAGGCACCACTTGATGTTGCTAATATTGCAAACTTCTGCGTTTTTTGCCCTTCTTGGATTATAGCGTTTATTAGTGGAGTATGTGAGACTTTTACCCTGGGCCTTGGCCTTGCGGGGCCAGCTCTGTACCCCTGGACTGTGTCTGCAGCCCAGATAGTCTTAGGGTTGAGTCCTTGGGTATTTATGTCTCCTTGGAATCTGAGGAGAGAAGTGTCTAGAGTGTAGCCTCTTTAATGACTTTTTCTCTGTAGAAGCCTTGACACTTGAGGTACTGGTGTCTTCTCAAGGTGACTTTTAACACATAAGGAAAAACCTCTTGCACATTCAACTTTGAAATTTATTGGTTCTTCCCAAAATGACTTTCTGTTTGTCTTAGCCACATGCTAAGCACAGTGGTGCCTGTCTTTTTGGTAAAAGTTACTGCCTGAATATTTTCAAGTTCTGAAAATAAGTCAATTGAAAGAAGGTCCACGCTGGAGCTCAATTTTTATTGCATTAAAAGGATCTTTAGGAGGAAATCTGATTAAGAATTGTTACTGTATTTCGAGGAAAGATATTTTCTTGTTCTTTTTTATGTACTGGAGATACTTGGAGGGCCTTGTGGATGCTAGGTGAGCATCCTCTCACTGAGCTACATCACTTTTTACTTCCAAAAAGCTACCCAGGCTGGCCTTGAAAACTCTGAGATTACAACATGCATTACTAGCCTAGCTTCCTCCCTCTCCCCTTTTTCCTCCTCCCTTCCCTTATTCACTCCATCTTTGACATAGTTTATCAGACTGTTCTTTATCAGTCACATGAGTATTTGATTACAAGGACTTCATGGGTATTCTAGCTTAATTCAAACTATAATCATAGAAAAAACTGAGAAATACAATAATTTTTACAACTTTTCAAATTTGAGTGATTTAGTAAGACTTATGTAGTAAAACTGACTAAAGCTGAAAATTTTAAGTATATGATTTATCCCAGTGTGCTTGCAAAAGAAACTACATTCTTTCTTACTCAATTGACAGGCTTCTTGCTTTCAGAAAGTTACTTTGTTCAATGGTTGCCTCTAGATTATGACATTTGAGAGTTTTAGAAAAAGGGGTTTATAATATTTGGTTGTTGGAAATATATAGGAATCAAGGAAACATACAGAAATCGTAATGAAGTAAAATTTCAGAAGATTGTGCAATTGTTTCTCATCTGGATTGGAGAATAACAAGGCTACATAGGCACATAATGATTTAGGTGGGCTTGAAGAATTTAATATCTCATTGACAGGTTCATCCTATCTGGAAAGAAATACTGGGAGGAATCAAAGGTATATGGCATATTTCAGTGACTGAGGTTGGAATCCAGGATTCCTTAGTTGACAGGAAAAAGTCTACAAACAGTATATTTGATTGAGTTCTTTTGATGATGTGCTAAGGAGGGGAAGGCATTTTGTCACCCTTGGGGAATCTGAGCATGCAGAATTTGAACTTGGTGCTGGATGGGTGGCGAAGGGATGTGGGAACTGAAGGGTTGTTAGTGTCCATCCAGCTTGGAGGAGTAGGTGCTACATGGGCCATGATGCCACTGGCAAAGATGGGAATAACAGATCAAGTACAGGCAGGGAGTGAGGTGGGAAGCATGTGGTTGGTAGTGATGATCAAGTTTTGGGCAGTGTTGAAAGTACCCTGATGGTTTACTTTGAGGTGTTGAGCATATTTTCCAATATAACTTGCAATTGGAGTTGAGGTATTCTGTATGTGATCATGTCTTCTTTCCCAGAATGGATTTTGGTTTTGGCTACTTTTATTCTCTTATGGTCTGGTAGTTGGTGGTTGTAATTGTCATCTGTTGGATGAATTTTGTGTAATTTGATTTGTGTTCCCAGAATGCTTAAGTCATGGGATTGTGAAAAACAAAGGTTAATAGGTCTTCCAGCTGTCCAAAATTTGTGATGACAGAATACCATAGAATGTGACAGATGACATGCACTGTGTTTTAGACTTGAGCCTGAAGTTACTTTAGTCCAGAGTATTGTTTCATTGTTTTGTTTCCCAGTGTTTCAAAGTTCTTTGTTGTTGAATTATTTTTCACTTATTGTGACTAGTTAGTGCAAGGTTAAATCCTAGGTACGGCATGTCAGCCTCTGTGAGATGCCTTCTGGAATTCTCTGGGTCTTCTGCAGACACGGTCATGGTCTGTTCCAGCTATTTGGCTTATAAAAATTATTAGATAAGACTTTAGGGACATTGTCCCTAAAAAACAGTTTCACAGATTAATCACACAGAGATCCTTTTTAGGGCAAGTCTGTTCTGTACACTTCTGGCATGTTTACAGTTTTGTATCTTCGGCAGTTTTTTTTTTTTTTTTACAAGAAGTAAGTTATTGATTTATTTGGCTTTTTTGAAGCAGGGTCTCAAAGCCCTGGCTAGTCTGGAAGTAGCTTATGGTTGAAGCTGACCGTTTACCTCCACATTTTAAGTGCTGGGATTACAGGCTAGGCCTGTGCCATCACACCTGGCTAATAAGTTTTTTTGATAGCCTTATTTTATTTATTTTATTTTTCTCTCTTTAGATCTCTGTGCTTTTTTTATTTTTACTTTTGAGATTATAATGTAATTACAACATTAATTATAATATAATTACTCCCCTTCCCTCCCTCCACATCCTCATATATATTCCTCGCAGGTAGTCTTCAAATTTATAGCCTCTTTTTTTATTAATTGTTGTTGTATGCATATATGCATATACATATATATATATATCCCTAAATATAACCTGCACACTTAATATGCTTATTTAGATAGTTTGTCAAACAAGTCATGTCAGAATTGTATAAACAGGTTCACAGATGTTCTTGCTTGTTTTTCATTTCAGTAGTTATTGTAGTTTTAGTAGGAAGCATATACATGTCATAATTTGAGTTTCTTTATTTTTACTATTGCAGATACTGTAAGCTTATGCCAGATTATGTGGATTCCAAATTCATCTGTTTTAAGCTAGCTACTGAGCTCTTGGCATTGTGTATAAACTGGTGTTTTCAAAAAACAGTCTGGAAAGAAGTTGGTGAGAAGGCAGACTATTGCAGGGACTGTGCATGCTGTGCATGTGGCTGTGCTCATTCTGAGGCAGTTAGCTGAGTGATAGCAAGATAACCTGTAGCAGCATGTGTACAGTGTGCACCCAAGGGAGAGCTGTATTAAATAATACGATATCTCTTTCTGCAGAAAGTTAAGAAGTTCCTTCAAACTTGTAATAATTCTAAATTAAACTAAACCCATATAATTATAATTTGTAACAATCAGGAACAGAAATTACTGTTAAAAAGGTTATATAGGATTTTATTTTAAAAAGGTTATATAGAGGCTATTAATATTTCTTTTTGTACAATTAAACTTTTATTTCTTCTAGTCCAAGTGGTAAGAAGTTCAGAAGTAAACCTCAGCTGGCAAGGTACCTGGGAAATGCCGTTGACCTCAGCAGTTTTGACTTCAGAACTGGCAAGATGATGCCTAGTAAATTACAGAAGAACAAACAGAGACTGCGGAATGATCCTCTCAATCAGAACAAGGTTGGTAAATTTACTCACAGCGTAGACATGCGCTTCCCAAGCTCTCGAGAGGGGTTTCATGTGCCATTGAGATCACCATTGTCTGAATGTCTTTCCCCACTACAGAGTATTTGTAAACTTACAAGTAGGATTTATTTTTCTATATTTGGAAGTACTTGAACAGAGAAAGTGTGAGTAATTGTGCATAGTAGAAAACAACATTTCAATATGTTGGTAGACCACTAACATGTACTACACCTTGTGATTTTTTTTGAAGTATTTTTTTTCTGTTTGCTAAAAAGAGGCAACATTACCACAGAGTGTGTAATTGCATAGTAATTGTGAAGTTCAACATTTGGGGAGGGGCAGTGTGACTTTGACTTTGATGATGTCGATGACACTGACTCATAGATATTATTTTCATCCTCACAGATTTTTTTCACTAGCCCTTAATTTTTTGGAGTTGCTTGATTATTCCATAGCTATATAAACAAGTCACATTTGAATAATTTAATTTGATTAAAGCTTCAGTATCTTTACAAAAAAAAAGCTGCTATTCTTCCAAGGACACCTGGCCATGTATGACCCACGGACAGCTCCTTGACTTTCATGGTTCCTCTAGGTAGGTTACTACCCTTAGTGCTGAGTCAGGAGTTGAGGTGGATGTCATCACTGCAGATGCCTAAGTCAGTGAATCCAGTGACTTTGTTATCAGTTGTTAAAGGCATTCATTCCTCTAAATTTTAGGAGTCTTTGTGTGTTACCATTACTGCTTTCTCACAACAATCCTGTGAAAATAAAGAGTGAAAAGTAGAGGCATTTCATAGGATTTGACGATGTAACCCTGCCAGACCATCAGAAGTACAGCAGGCCTTGCACTCAGGAACCAGGCTTTGCCTCAGGCAGGCGTGGGCTTGGTAAACTGGCTGTGCTGTGTGTTAGCTGATACAGTCTATCATAGTGTAATATCGGATACAGATAGACAACTTTGTGAAGTTGAAGCCGTGGAAGGCCTGAGGTCTTTTGTAGAATAGAGTAATAAAACTTCTCCCATAGCATTATTGTGAAAAAGAAGTAAGAATTTACATAAAAACATTTAGGAAAATATTGACCCCTGCTATTTCCTTTTTCCCCCCTCCTAAACTGCCCCTTCCGTCCGTAAACTATAGCCAGCTTGCTGAGCACCAAGCTACCCTGCCTGCTTAGCATAGTGTTCGTATAGGAAGCTTTCTGGCTGAGCTCTTTTCTTCCTTGTCTTTTCCTTTTCTGAAGCACATACACGCACCAGTGTACCTGTGTGTATGCATGTATACGTGTATATGTGACAGTTACGGTTTTCTGAAACTGCCACTTTAAAACTCTAGCCACAGTGCCACCTGCGCTGTGGACCTGACTATTTATGAAATGAAGAGAATGCTTTTAAATTATCCTGTTGTTTCCAGAATCGCATTTTAGCCTCATTCAATGTAATTTGAAGCTTTACTTCATGACAGTTAAGGTTCATTAAAAACCAACACTAATTCGTCTCTAGTTTGTGTGCACCTTTCTGTTCTAGCTGCTCTGGACCACTCCTCACCCTGCAGCATGGCATGCGCTTTCAGGACCTGCTCTAGCTGCTCTGGACCACTCCTCACCCTGCAGCATGGCATGCATGCGCTTTCAGGACCTGCTTGCTTCTGTGCTGTTCCCTCTGCTTGGAATGTGCTTCCCCCTCCCCCTCCATCTGGCGAACTCCTCAGAGGCTCCACTCCATTGCCTGCATCTCTGGGAATCCTGTCCTTTCTTTCATGGTGACTGCTGTGCTTTGCCATTGTGTTTGTGCCTGTACTTCAGCTAGACTGTGAGCTCCTTGGGAGCAGGGACTCTGTTTTGTTTTTGTTTTTGTTTTGTACAGTAACTCAAAACCTTGCACATAGTAGCCTTGATGTTTGACTTAACTAGCCACCTGATTCTAGATAGTGGTAATAAATGTTTATTTAATAAAATCATACAACACAGGTTTGGAAGTGCCTTTTGTTTTCATTGTTTTCTGACATTCTATGTGAAGTTAATGGTGCCTGGTCTTGCCTTGATCTGATTCTTAAAAGTTTTAGGTAAGTAGCCGTGGTGGGAGTAGTTGCATTTTTTTTTTTTTTTTTTTGGTTTTTTGAGACAGGGTTTCTCTGTGTAGTTTTGGTGCCTATCCTGGATCTCGCTCTGTAGACCAGGCTGGCCTCGAACTCACAAAGATCCGCCTGCCACTGCCTTCCGAGTACTGGGATTAAAGGCGTTCTCCACCACCGCCCAGCAAGTTGTTGCAATTTTAAAAATAGACTCCCTTTGGGAGTAACACTATCATTACAAGCAGAGAACATACTTGTGGTGTAGTTAGCTGATGTTTTTCGTGACAGTACTGCATAAAGAAAGCTGGGAAATGTAGCTGACAGAAATCTTGATATGTAGTAAACTCGGCTATAGTACATTTTTTTTAAGTTTTAAAATATTTTTGGAACTGGGGATAGTCAACAGTTTAAGTTTTTAAACAGGATTGACTGACTATAAACTCTGATCTTGATGTATATCTTCTGTATTGAAGCAGTTATTGCTAATGAATGGAATTTTCAAATGTAAGATCTTTGCAAAGTGGTTTTTAATTACATTCGAGTGGGTCAGTAGGATGGAGTGGGCATTGGCTTTGGATTAACACACACTGCAGCTTTTGTACTTGTTTTTGCTTTTCTCAAATTTAGTCTTACTCTAACCTCCCAAATGGATTCCTTTCTTGCTTTCATTACACTTTATTGATTTTTCACTGCTATAATCATTTGCAGGCAGCCTCATCTCTCAAGGTGATAAAATAGTTGAAATGCTAAGTGTGTTACTGAAGATCTCACTGGAGCTAATGGGGGCAGGTGGCTCACAATAATGTGAAAGGAACCAACTAGGGTGTGGTGAAGTGATGGCAGTTTTCTCACAGTGGAGCATTCTGGGATGGAATTCTGTTAGCTGTCGCCATACATATGGCTAATATGTGGCTGTGTATGCCTGGTGCTTGCCCTATTGGACAGCACAGTTTTAGAATGAAAAGGCAAAAATCTTGGTTTCACATGTAAAATATTTTTGTGCATATGCACACACACACACAGGGAGAGAGAGAGAGAGAGAGAGAGAGAGAGAGAGAGAGAGGAGAGGAGAGAGAGAGAGAGACTTTTCGAAGATACCTCAAAGTTTCAGAGATAGAATTTGACATTTTAAGGAGGCAGTAGAGGCAAGATAGTAATTTTGGGTGGGTGAGATGGCTAAGCAGTTAAGGGCCCTTGCTGCCAGATCTGATGTTGAGTTCCGTTCCCGGACCCATGTGAAGGTGGAAGGAGAGGGTGCACATGTGCATGCGTGTGTGTGCACACACATGGAAAGGGAGGAGAGAAAATAACTATTAAAAATTTAAAACAAGATAATTTTGAAAATTTAGCTGGAGATCTGGGGTGAGCTACATTAGGTTGTGAATGCAGAGCATATTTAGGGAACTCAGGAAGCTTGCTTCTGTTAAATTCTACATTAAACTGATTCTTTGTTTCTGTTTTTAATACTGTAATATAAATGTCTTAGTAATGAAGCTACAAAACAAAGTACAAATACTCTGATGTTAACATGCCCTACGATATATTTTGCAAGTTGCTTACAATGAATATTGTAAGGAACAAGTCTTTTTCTGAGTTTAACTTCATAGCACTGCCACTACCTTGGACGGACACAGTTCTTTCAGTGCCTTTCTGTGGGACTTTGGAAAATAAAAGCATCCTGTTTCTTTGGGAGATGTCAGTTCTGTGTCAGATCTGCAGTCTTTGATTCCACATGAATTATCTTGGGCAGTGGGAGTAGTTAGTATATTAGTGTGATTGCAGGCATAGACTTGGCTAATGTATGGCTGTATCCTAGATTCTCAGATACATGGAGAAGATACTTGTTTCTGTTATTCTCACAAAATAATAAAAAGTACAATTTATACCTCAGTAGTGTAACTTGGGGGGCAATAGCTATAGAGTTTAAAGAAACTTGTAAGGTAGTGGATGGTTTGCACTTTGGTTTAGACTTAGTATGCAGTGTGAAGACTGGACTGGAAAAGGGTGAAGCTGGAAGTATGCAAGCTAATTGGGCTTTCTGAGTCCAGAAAAATAATGGGCCTAAATTAATACCTTGACAGGAGGTATAGAAAGAGAAGAATCAAGAGAAATAAGTAGCTTTAAGGGTTCGCTGGTCACAGGGAGAGAGACTTGATGTTTTCTAAAATTGTGGCTTTGGTCACTGCTGTAGTTTGGTTATAGTTTGTCTCCTAGAGTTCCTTGTCTAGAGACTTGGCCCTCTACTGTGATTTCGAGGTGGACAAACTGTTGGCAGGGTGGCCTAGTGGAGAGTGTAAGTAATAGGGTTCCACTTTTATAATGAATTAATGCCAGCTTGGAGCAGTGTGGGTTTCATAGGCACAGCAGTGGATTGTTGTCAAGCCTAGCCCTTCTCTGTTCCCTTGCTTCTCTGTTTGCACACATGCCCCTTGTGCTTGTAGACTGCTACTGTGACTTGTTGCAGTGGCCAGAGGCCCCTCACCAGGATGCTGGCACCAGGCTTTGGGCTCTCCAGGAAACAGAATTGTGAGCTCGATGAACCCTTTTTAAGTTGCCTTAGCCCAGGGTATTTTGATGAGCAGCAAAAAGTAGAGTAAGTCAGCCATGTCCAGGTGTGTGTGAAGTTGTCCGTGGGGTGGTAGGTGGCAAGGGGAGAGCCTGTGGGTTGGGGTGAAGCTGGTGGAGTTACAGCGATTGTGTTTCTTAGGTTTCCAAAAGGGGCGCATGTAGGTTCTCATGATTATTCAAGGATTCCTGCCCTAGTGATTTGTCACTTGTGTCCAGTGTAGAGACAAGTAGGATGGGTACTTTTTCACACTGCAGAATGCAGATGAGATGAATAAGAAATCCTGTGGAAAACTGAAAAGGACTTTCCCAAAGGTAAGAGCAAAGTCAAGAAAATCTTGTGTTACAGAAGCA